TGGTTTCGACTAATACCTAAAACAACGAGTACCAAATTTTTCTCATAAGGAATAATGTATTAGTCATGAGGCAACTGATTCCGACAAGTTCTTGTTTGCTTGTCAAGTACTAAACAAATCATGAGTACTGGGACAAAATTTTCAGGTCAAAGTGCGTCCAGTATCAAATTCATTGAGTTTTAAAGCAGTCAAGTACCAAGGTACAAATGTATAGTCCAGTCTTCCAGTCCTTGCCATCCAGCTAATGAATTTCAGGGAATATCTCTTCCTCATAAACCCACCAGTACTGCTCTCTCACTAGGAAGCAATCATTTCAAGGTGTTGGTAGCACCTTCAAGTTATACTTTCTCGAGTATAACTTCTCTCTCCCTTTTGCCTAAGGTGAATAGCTAGGTTGAAACAAATATTACAAGGATATAGAGTAAAAAATAAAGAGAAAATTTGCCTGTCAATTTGTGTCCGACTGTAGGATGCAGTTCTGATCTCCATTTCTTGGCTGAGGGAGCCAGCATTATCTGAAGACATTTTCCATGGTCATGTAACCATCATGGCTATACGCCAAAGGTGCATGGAATTCAGTTGCCTTCCCACCGAAGTGGTACCTGTTAATCTACTTGCATTTGCATGCTGTCGAACTGCTAGGTGGGCAGGGACAAGGAATGGGAGCTTACCCCATCGTGTGGCGCTCAGGTCTTGTCAGTTTGCCATCTGACAAGCTCAGCCTCTTTAACCACTGAGCCATCACACCCCTAGGTTAGGGAAGTCTAAGATAATTCCACAGAATGATTCTTAGGAGATTGAACCAGAAATCATAGGACATATTTTGATGCTGCCTTCAGAATAACTTTGAAATTCTAGGCCAAATTAAAATGATACTTTAAGGGATTGTTTACAAAGATTATAAATTATACTTTTGTCTATGGCAGAAAGGACTTCTGTGTACATCAGCATAAATAGCCAATGATTCTCATCTTTCTCCCTGTTTGGAATGATGCTAGGAGGGGGTACCTGTTGAAGGACAAAACATGTTGTACTGCTACATCCAGTATAGGCAAATAGTTGGGATCATATTAGTAAAACTCCTTTTGTCTGCGCTGTTCCAAAAATTCAATACCAAACTTGGTTTCCTAAAGGTTTGTCAGCAATAAAACAGGTGTAGTGAAACTTCTCTGCATGTTGTAGTCTAATCATTCTAGCCTTTTAAAGAATTCTGTTTTGGAATTGTGTTGCTGAACCTCAGACCAATAGAGATAGGCAAGGTGCCATACCATCCCAGATCCTTGCCTAAACCTTTTTTTTTAAAAGAGCAAGTTTCATAAAGAAGTTGGTACCTTTGCCCAAGGTCCGGGTGAGTGGTTCTTCACCAAGCTAAGTGTTGAAATAAGAATAGGCCCTGATAGCTAGAGTTATCTTTTTCCAGTGCAATTTTAACTCTCCTCTCCTCTTTCTTGTAAAAACTCACCCATTCCCAGAGTTATCTAAGCTCTTTCACAAGCTGTAAAATCAAATGGATTACCTTTCATAAATTTATTTTCTTTCCAATTTCAAGTTTTTCACAAAGTTAATGTTCTTGGCAAGAAGCAGAGATAAAGACAGAAAAGAAAGGATGAATGGAAGAAAAGTACTAGAGACTATGGTCACGATTCTTATGGAATTGCGTGTGAGGTAGATAAGAATAATAGCTACAGAGCAAAAAGAGAATAGGCAGTTTGTGCTGCTACTTCCAGCCACTGCAGTCCCTATTTCACCTAGGAAAAATTAGCATGCTTCCTCCCTTTCAGTTGCTTGAACTTCTTTTAATTGTTTATTTATGCCATGTATCTATTACTTTTTAATAAAATATCAAACAGCTATAATGCAAGCTCAATTCTATCAAGTTAGCTAAATTACCATGTTTAAAAGCCTTTGTTTCTTTGTTTGTTTCCTAAATATTTGAATGAGCCATTAGCAATAAACCTTTGTTGCTTATGCAAATTTGTCTTTCAGAATGGATATGTAATGCTAAAAGATTGTCTTCCGTTTCATAGAACCGGTTATCCTCTTGGAAAGCCAGACTTTTTTATATATAATTTTTATATTATACAATCTATAATTAAATTATAAAATATAATTTTACTGAACATTTTTTAATGAGAGAAATAAGGAAAATAATGAATAAATAAGAAATAAAAAAGAAAAGATTATAAAGAAGCAGTTTCATATCTTTTGATAGAAGTTGTAAATGCAATTATATTTGAGAGGATATATTTTACTCTCTCTAAGGTTATACCATAATTTTCTTCTTTCCATTACATACTTTTTCTTCTAATCTTTTTTTTTTCAGCAAAACGTCCATAAGGGTTTCAAGTCACTGATAAATGTAGTTATTGATCTTTCTCTAATCAAGTTAATTTAGCCACTGCTTCTAGTTCTGTCATCTTCACCACTCATTCATTTGTTGGGGATATTTCAGAACCCAAAAGCCAGATTTTTGAGGGCCAAATAAAACCTTAGGTCCTTTCATGGAGTCTACTCAAGATTAATAAGCAATTGGCTGAGTTGTATTATTTATTTATTACTTACCTACCTACTCGCTCATTCTCTAGGAAGATTTTTTTTAAGCATTCCTGGAGGCACAACATCCCTCCAAGAATTCTTGAAAGAGAATGTTTGAATTGGCAGTTTTGGCTCTCCCCTCATCAGAATCAGCGGAGGAAAATGCTCTGCCTCCTTTTGCTTATATTCAGCCTCTTCCACGAAATGCTTTATAATTATCTCCCTCAGGCAAAGATTGATTTCAGTATCTATATCTGGTAAGATTGTGTGAGATGTGTAAAGTCCGAGCAACTGAGAGTCCAAAACAGAAAGTGAATGGGTGCAGCGTGAGGGGAATTTTCCTCATAAGCTGTTTCTCCAATTTGTAGTTTGATGGACAGAGAGGAGGATCTCATCATAGGCAGGATGCTTTCTCAAGTGCTACAAATCCATAGAGGTTCCTGTTTCTTACACATAGGAGGAGGAGGAGGCAATATGTTTGGGCAGCAAACTAGCAATGGGAGGATGAACAAGCACTTATTAATCAATTCAGCACCATGTTCCTAGGGACAGTGTTAGGATCTTTAAAAAGTATCATGTAAAGTTAATATACACTTACACCAGATTGCTTTCTAAATACAAATTACAGATATTTGGAACATAAAGGAAGCAAAAGATTAGCAGGTCTCCAGGATTCCAAATATAAAAGGTGTTCTCTAACAGGAAAAGGATTTTTGCTGCGGTTATACTGCTTCTAAAGAAATAATCCTTGTATTTTTAAATGCTTTGGATTGGCTGACTTTAAGCCACTAATTTTATCATGGATGTAATAGATAAGCCTCACTTTTCCTTTATACCACACACATAAAGTGTGAACTCTAAAGAAAATCACCTTTATGATCTTGCTCATTATGAAGTGATATGCAACCCTCCAACTATGTTTGGTTTGTACTAAGTTCTATTTTGATTTAATTTTGGTCATTTCATTTTGGTTCCCTTTTTATATCCATCATTTGATTGATCAGTTGAAATTTCAAGATGTTCTAAACAAGATACAGCGTATTACAAGGATAACTCTTCACAGTATATCCCTCGGGACCATCTACTTGTGATGCGTGCGCTAGTACTAATTATAATAAAGCAGAGATATGCAAATTATTTCAGGCGGAGAGACACATCTGGCAAGATACCATATACTTTTTGAGAAAATAGTGTTTGAAAGGGCTTTCAGGTACTATTGCTATAATTCTGAAAGGCCAATAACAGAACACAACATGAATAAGATTTTGTGCAACTTGTTGTTCCCTATAAAATAATATTCCCATCATAACTGCTAACAGTTCCTTTAATACAAACCATACCCACATAAATAACTATTTAATAGTTATTTTACCTCAGGCTAGAAACTGGGAGACCATGAGACTAGTTCAGCCTTAGACACGAAACCAGCTGGATGACTTTGGACCAGTCACTCTCTCTGAGTCTTAGGAAGGAGGCAAGGGCACATCACTTCTGAAATCTTGCTAAGAAGACTGCAGGGATTAGCAAAAATTGACTCAAAGGCACAGAAAAAAGTTATTTTACTAGTAAAATTCTTTTCCTTTGCTATTTTCTATCTGTTCCCCTTTACTAGAATGCAGAATACTTAACAAAATATCTTTTAAACAAATCAGAACTATTATATACCGCATTGTGGATAGAACCAAAGTGGCAGTTATAAATCACTTCTATAAAGTTGGCTGATTTGATATAATATCAGAGCAGTGATTCCTGCTATGAATTAGGCACTTCCACAATCAAATGGCTGGCTTTAGTTACTTAGAAGTCTGATTTAATAAGAATAAGCCACAAGATAAGATAGACAAAAAGTGACCAGTCTGGTGAAATTGAAGTTAACTTAGAAGAGAAGGTTTCTTTTAAGAACTTCTGGTACCCAATTTTAGTGGGCATCTTTTATTATGCTTAAATGTCAAACTGAACCATAGTTGTGAACCATATTTTGGAGAAGAAAAGCCATTGGCTGATTTTCACAATCTGTCTAGCCATAAACCTTGATTTACAGTACGCACCACAGCCACTGGGTTTATTTAACACCGCTGTAGAAATTATATTTTGGCTCAATGGGCAGAATATGCTGCCACCATAGTTTTTACGAGACTAAGAAAACCTGAATAGAATGTTGTTGTTTTTTGACTTCTTTTTCCTATCTGTGCTTTATATTGGCTCAGCTACAGTGTTGAACCTGTGAAAAATATGTGCTCCTCAGCTGTAGCAGTTAAGCTTCAGATCATCATTCACTGATTTTCTTTATTTCAATTAGGATTGAAGAGAAGTATAAACAGTTGGTGCTCAGTTTATTAGAAAACTGATGCTAATAGAATAATATCTCTTCTCTTGACTCCTAAGGGTCAACAAATATCTATCACAACAGAGTTTGAGACTCTTCACAGAAAGTAAATAAAGTGTTGCTGCCTTTTTTCTTTAAGAAAAGCCAGAAATGGATGAATTCACCTTGGAAAGAGTGCTTGAGGAACTGGAGACTGTGTGCTATGAGAATATGAACGTTGCCATTGAGACAGAAGAAGGCCTTGGGATAGAGTACGATGAGGATGTGGTTTGTGATGTGTGCCGTTCACCAGAAGGAGAAGATGGCAATGAGATGGTTTTCTGTGACAAATGCAACGTCTGTGTGCATCAGGTAAGTAGCAGTTCTCTCTCTGATTGGGTAGTAAGGACAGTTCCCTCAGATTCATTGATTTATAGAATTGGAAGAATACCTTTACTTAGGAAAGCTGCCCCAAGCCCAGAACAAGGATGTTAAAAGAGCATTCTTACATTCTTACCGCTATGTTCTCAAGACTGAACCGGTTTAACTTCCATTTTTATCTCTGGTAAGTCTAGGGCATTTGCAGGTACCTAGAACTACCATATCTGCAAAAATCCTGGCAACAACTACATTGAAGAGGCAGAGTTCTGGACATTTGCCACAGCAGACTCTGTTGTGGGCAACTTTAGGAGTTGCCTAAAGGAAGAACAGGAGACATTCAACAGCAGATGACAATGCTTTTTGCATTTCTTAACCATTCAGTGGTATCTTTGGATGCATATTCATGATATTTTTGTTGTTAATTATGGCCAGTTTACTGCTTGTTGTGATATTAAGGGAATAAGTGTATCAAATTCAGGAATGTCAATGATGTCCCAGAATTCTTATGTTGGAAACCCAGTAGCACCTGAAATGGAAGACCATAAGACTAGGCTCATTATTTCTCCTTTTTAAATGTCTTCCCCCTCCCCACCTTTTCCTCCCACAAATTGCTGAATCTGGTATCTTTTTTGCTATTCGTTTATGTTTTTTTATTATCATTCAGTACATATATTGCACTAAGCCATAATATGTTTTAACAACTTGTTGCACAAGCTATTATAACATGAAAAGTCAAAATCAATCATTTCATGGTTTTGTGTGATCTGTAAACTTAACCAGAAAATTGAATAACCTTTACTTAACAAAATAGGTCTCTGTTGTGACTATGGAAAACAGCTTTGAAAAATGCTTTGTACTGAATTTGAAAGAAAAAAGTAACAAAAAATATCACTGCTGTTTAGATGGTAAATAAAAAGATTTCTTATGCAGTAGAAAAGTCCAGATCAAAATTCCAAGATTAAGGCAATGGGATCAATCAGTCGTGGAAATTCAGGGGCAGGAATAATGTGTTGCCCATCTTCTCACTCTCTTTCAACTCTCATTCATTCATCCAGAAAATTGCCTAATCAGATTTTTTGGGAGGAATAATACTGTTTCAACTACATTATATTAATGGTAGGTGGGAACAGGGAATCGTATACACTTATTATTTCTAAATTAATAGGGTCATTTTATTCATAAAGTGGATTGTGGTACTTACTTTATCATAAGGTGTATTAATCTTGATATGAACTCATCAGTTTGATGAAAAGAAGGACTAGGGGCAGTGGTGTATTAACCATTAAGCAGACTAAGCACATGCTTAGGTCACAAGGCCCAAAGGGACATCACAAATTTGAGAATATGGCTTCATTTGTTCAGTATGTACAAAGGAGGGGGACACCAAGATTTGTCAGTGCTTAAGGCACCAGTGACTAATCCGCCATTGACTAGGGGTGACATGATAGCAGTGTCCCAATATCTCAGGGACTGCCACAAAGAAGACAGAGCCAAGCTATTCTCCAAAGCACCTGAGGGCAGGACAAGAAGCAATGGATGGAAAGTAATGAAGGAGAGAAGCAACCTAGAACTAAAGAGAAATTTCCTGACAGTTAGCGCAATTAATCAGTGGAACAACTTGCCTCCGGAAGTTGTAAATGCAACACTGGAAATTTTAAAGAAGAGATTGGGTAACCATTTGTCTGAAGTGGTGTAGGGTTTCCTGCTTAAGCAAGGGGGTTGGACTAGAAGACCTCCCTTCCAATTCTGTTATTCTGTTCATCACATAAGTAATGAATCATTGTCCTGATATTTCTTTTTAGGCTTGCTATGGAATCCTGAAAGTTCCCCTTGGAAACTGGCTCTGTCGGACCTGTGCCCTGGGAGTTCAGCCAAAGTGTTTACTCTGCCCAAAGAGAGGGGGAGCCCTGAAACCTACCCGGAGTGGAACAAAATGGGTTCATGTTAGCTGTGCCTTATGGATTCCTGAAGTACGAGACCAAGTGATTTCTGCCTAAACAGAATGAATGGAGTGTGGATGAAATTTGTTTGAATTAAGTCATGCTTGATACATCTTCCATAAACAGTTCATACCATTGACTGAAAGTATTTAAGAAAATCTAGCATTTGAATCATTATTATAGTTAAGCAATAACTGGTTATCAGTTTGGACATTCCAAATAAATGTCACCGTAGTATGGGCTATGAGTATCCCCAAAGATTTGTATCAAAGATGTCTTTTATGATACTCATCTTAAGGGAGAATTGATTTCATTGTTCTTCAAGACAGTGTATGGAAACTGATTATTTGTATGCTTTGTCTTATTCACAGGTTAGCATTGGATGCCCTGAAAAAATGGAACCAATTACAAAAATTTCACATATCCCAGCAAGCAGATGGGCTCTGTCATGCAGTCTTTGCAAGGACTGTACTGGAACCTGTATTCAAGTAAGTAGTTGATTCTAAGAAAATCGAAGAATCGGATCATTTTCTTTTGTGCTCTGCCCACTTGGAAAAATGATGGCATCGCCTTACAGTTCTCCCTCGAGCCGCTCGGAGCATCCAGAGAGTGGGAGGTGCTTCTGAGTCCTCTTCTCACAGGCTGCCCCCTCACGTGGCTCCATGCAGCGTTCCCCAGTTTTTGCTCAGCCTCTGAGAGAGCAGGCTGTTTTGCAAATAGGCTCCTTGGCTGATCCAGGTTTCTTCATTCCTCATTGCATCTTCTGTAAGGAATCAGGTTTGCTTCCTTTCCTAGCCCCTGCGCAAAAGGTTTTGACCCAGGGGGAGGTTTTTCCCTCGCCTCTAGGGGCCTGAGTGGGCGGGATCGCAGCGCTTCGGCGCCCCCGCCACCAGTTCAGTCTCTGCCTCCGCGCCGCCTCAGCAGCTCATTTAATCTGCGCCAGAGGGTGACGCTGGTTTTCCCCCCACCGGAACGCCGATCGTTAAGGGAAGGGCTAAATTCCTCCTCACAGCCCTCTAGGCACGCTGAGCTAGCCAGAGGAGCCCTCCCTTCCGTCCTGAGAGGCCCCAACGGTAGCTCAGCTCGCGGCTGCCATCTTGGCGCCGCCTCGTGGTCGGGCGCCTTTTGTCTTATTCTTGCTGCTGCGGTTGAATCTGCTCCTTTCTGACCCCCTGGGTCTTGAGCTTTATTTAGGGTGCCACTCTGACCAACCTGGTCTGGCACGTTCGTTGGCGTCCCGCAGCTCCACCCGGGGCGAAGTCCAGCAGTCCCCACCCCCTTCAGTCTTCGTCTGGAGGTCTACTGCTAGGCCTCTCTGTTCCAGGCCTTAGGCGTTCATTTGGCAAATTCGGTCATTACTTTAGCCAACCTTTGTTTTCTGGTTTGCACAGTAGTACAGTCCAATTTATTAACTTTATATAAAAAAAAAGGACAGAAGAAAGAATCTTGTGATTAATCTTCAATCATATCTAATATCAGATAAAAAAAGATTTTTATATAAAATAATAATAATAGATATATATATATGCATAATAATAATAATGATATCACATATACAATACTTCTTTGTATATTCATATCCTTTGACTGTCTTCAAGTAATTTCCTCTGGC